CATATCACATTAAAGGTTTTATAAAAAACTTTCTGTCATCTCAGGCCTTAATAACATCCTCAAAACATCTTCTGAATGTTGCAGTTAAAACTTTATGTCTTAGTTAACCTTAAACCTTATAGGAACATTATTTGAACAAATAAACATCCTAAAAAGGTTCTTTGAACATCAGATTAAAACGTTTCTTTAAAACCTTGTTAGAACCAATAGGTAACGTTAGCCAAAGTTGTGAGAACGTTCCCCGCTAGCTGGGATACCCCTCTTCTCTTTTTTTTACCAAAACACTGTAGGACACTAAGAAAGATATAATAATTTCTATCACAACCAAATATTGTTGACCTGCCCAACATAATTAATTACTAACTCATTATAATATAGGCCTGCTGTAGGCTACAATGTGAAGTTGCCCTAATATATAATAATATACATATCAGATTTCAACCTTTATCTTTTGTTTTCTGTTGTATATATATTTCTAGAATACCTTAATTGAAAAGGACCACGGGGGGAGACTCCAACGTGGGAGACGCCAGCATGATTGTGGTCTAAAGATCATTTTGGTTCATTGGCTTGCAATAAAAATTAAAATTCACTAAGACGCTATTAGGAAACTGAGCCTCATCTGTTTCAAAAGCACAGAGGCTTTAGCTGAGACAAAAGCCTTTGTCAGGATCACAGTGCTCTCTCTGCAGTCTGTAGAGACATTAGACTGGTTTATGACAGACAGGTCAGCAGGGGGTGGGCAATGGGCTGAAAACATTCTACACACACTCTCACACACACACACACACACACACACACACACACACACACACACACACACACACATGCATATGCATACGGCAGTAAACCCCCTAAAGTGAGACCCTTGACCTCTCTGTATGTGGACCCTAGAGTGTGTTTGTTTGATTGTGCATGTGTGTGTGTGTGTGTGTGTGTTGGGGTTGCCATGAACAGCGGCGCGTAAAAGGTAATTCATTTTATCATAAGATGTGTTAGAAACAAAAGTTTCTGTCTTCCATATACTCTTTTACGTTAACTTCGAAATAGGTAACATGATGTAGCATAAGTTATACGTAAGCTAGCTAAAATGTGAGTAATGTATATATAATGCTCTCTCCCCTATAAGAGCGCGGCTTAAAATGTAAACATTCTCATGTTCTGCAATTTGTTCTTTGCTCACTGCGAGGTTGGGCACCGGGCCTTTCGGTTAAAAACAGCCAGTTAGCTCGGCTAGCTTGCGGCGCTACATACAGCTCAGGGTTTCCGTTAGCCGGTAATTACCGGTTTTGAGCTGGTGAAATTGATTGTCCGGTAATAATTAGGGATGCTCCGATCGATTGGCCGCCGATCCTTATCGCAGAGCTCTCAAGTCTCACGCATTTGGCGTGAGACACACACATTTCACTCCATTCACACGCTCACACGCCACACCTTGTATTTCTCACGCAGAGATTTCTTTCCAGGGTACCGCCCACCAAGTTGCGCCGCAATGTTGTACTAGGCTTGTTTGAGCCGCGTGCACTCCACTAGCACCCCTCCCCCCCCCGCTGACATTCGCGATACAGAGGGCTTCATACTCCACTAACACCCCCTCCCCCCCCCTTTGACATTCGCGGTACAGAGGGCTTCATGGGAACTTTGAGGGGAGCCAGAAGTTGGAGTACCAAACACTGCTGCCAAAATCTCTTGAGAGCCCTGTTATCGGTCGATATTTACTCTTAATAGTTTGATCGGTGCTCTCTATAAAGACCGATCAGGAGAGCTGGATCTGATCAATATGGACATAAACGCGAGTGAAGTATAACGGCCCGTCCACACGGCGGCGTGCGTTGAAGCTTCAACGCTTCTTCCCATTCACTTTGAATGGGGTGACGTCACGCTTTGCCGAACTGCATTGTGGGAGCGTTGCTTCGCTTTGCTCTCGTTGCTCGCTTCACAAATTGAGCAATGCTCAACTTTTGAAGCTTCGACGGAAGCGTCAGCCAATCAAATCATATGCCAGTACAAGCTCTAGCCAATCAAACCGCGTGCTTGTGTGTCTGGGACGGGAGATTCATGTGATTGGTTGATGGTTGAGTTTCAGACAAGCTCACAGGCAAGCTTCAATGCACGCCGCCGTGTGGACGCTGCGTAACCGGACGCGAGAGAGATCAGCTGCTGCTGAGTCTGATGGAGACAAGCAGCTCTGCATGATCACCTGAAGCCACGCCCGCTGTTTAGCGAGCTGCATGAGATACTAGGGTTCTCAATACTCTAATTTCCCCTCGACTCCTATCCTCGACTCCTATCCTCGACTCCTATCCTCGAGACTTAGTCCCGCCCACAGGAGATGCGAGCGGAAGAGCCGAGGAGAGAGGAGGGGAAGCAGCAGGCGGTTAGAGAAATGAGAACTCCTCTCCTCTGAGCGATCATTTTAAAGAGACGTCCATTAATGATGAAAGGAGGCACAGCAGCACTCTGTCTGATGGACAGATGAAATCCAGTTCCGGGTCACTACCGGAGGACAGGGAGTCGAGGAGGGGAAATTAGAGTATTGAGAAGCCTCTCCTGACGGGCTGTCAGGAGAGAGGAAAAAGAGAGGCTCCGGTTTCTCACGTGTTATTATCCAAAGTTAATGTAAACTTTTGAATAATGTACTTTATCTACTATAAGTGGTTTGTTTGATTGTAATAATTATGTTGTTTGTTGTTTGTGGAAGCGCATCATTTATTGAAAAATTAATCTGAACTTTTCGTTCTGTTACGATTATAAACTGAAGCAATATAAAAATGAGCCCATTAACTGAGTTTTCCAAATCAGCATATCCGGTCATAGTCCGGTAATTACCTGCGAACGGAAACTCTGCTACACAATTCTTATTATTATTATTATCGAAACATGACCGGTAATTTTAAAATGTGTCCGGTAAAATAAATTAAATATCCGGACACTTGACCGGCAAGAAAAAATCCTAGCGGAAACCCCGATTACAGCTGTCATCTGGTGGTTGTGTGTCGAAAGGTCGGTGGTAAATGGGATCAAAGTTTAAATAATTTCGAACGTCACGCTTCCACTTAGTCGAGCGGCAACACTCTCCATAGAAACATAGGTAACATCAGCGCAGAGCCACTTTACCGCTTGTCATGTGATTGCAGCTTAGGTATAAGGTTTGGCTGCAGTAGGGCAAGGACAAAGATGATTTGATATACCTAAGTAGAATCTGTTAAAGTTCTACTTAATATTCTCAGAAAAGTGCCAAGCACACCAGAAGATAGAGCATTATGCCGCAGGAGTTGTTTCACAAGTTGAATGGATGCTTTGATTAATTTTTCCATCATGAACATTTTTCATCAGAGGAATACATTGTAGTTGATTTTTTTTAGGCTAACCTTTCCACATGTTCTTTTTTAAATCAGAAAGCAAAGACTTTTGCCTGAAAATACCCCTTTAGCAACCATTCTAAGAGCTAAAAAGTTACGCTCAACTTTATCAACACACACAACAACACAGACTATAACACACCTTGCTGTTAATTACCAACCAAATATGTGCAATATGTACTATATGTGCAATATATGTATATGCCGTTAATAACTGTGCAATATATACCTGGCTGCTAAATCCTAAGAACTGTTACAGGATGTGTGTTTTGTAAATTGTGTAACTTTTAAGTTGTATTATATTTTGTATTATATTATAACTTTTTTGTTTTGACTTTAATACTTTTTAATGCATGTAACATATGTAACATATGTAACATTAAGCTGTCTGTGGCTCTTTTTCTGCTGTAACAACGTATATTTCCCCTCTGGGACTAATAAAGGTATTCTGATCTGATCTGATTCTGATCTTTCGCCTGGCACTTAAATGGATCAACTCTGGAATTCTACTTGAGAAGGGACATTATATCACTTTTACACTTTTTAAACTTTATAAAACTGTAACTTTTTCCTTACTTTCTGTGCTTTTCATACATTGGTGTGTTCAAAGGCTTGTTGTCATGAATAGGTGACCCATTCTTTAACTTGCAGAGGATGATGTCATCCCTCATATGTTATAAATGTGTGCCAATTACCCTCTTACTATATTTTCAGTAGCTTATCAGCCTACATGCTGTCCACACCCGCATGCAGTCTTTTTCCTGTGTCTAGAAATCTTTCTCTCTCTCTCTGCTAGTGTTTGTAGTGATCTTTATCCAAACTGCTGTCTTATCAAAATACATCAATATACTGCAACCCTGTTTTTAAGTCTTCTGAGTAAAGTCATGAGTCAGAGCAAGATCCAAGTCAAGCCTTGATTCAAGTCACGTCTCAGATCAGTTACATCCAATTGTTTGGCTTAATTGTTGTGATTTGAGGCTACCCACTGCAACCACAGTGATCCACAGAAGTTCATCCCATGTCACTATGTGCAAGATATGTCCAATAAAATGTGTTTGCAATCTTTATCAGACTGTGCATCTGGGGGATGTCAGATTGTACTTAATACTTAATATAAAATCTATCATTTGGTGGCAAATATTTTCTAGTCCAGTGCCATTAAACTATTTATGAAAAATAAATTGTTTAAGTTCATTTTAGCATTTTATTGTTTTCTCCTCAGGCAAGCATGAGAGCAATTTCACAAGTTTTTGTTTGTGCAAATTGAAAATGTGAATAGAAGCCTGTCTAAAGTCTGTCTCTCAGTTTCTCAAAGTGAGATCAAAGATGAGTTTTTTGGATCGACAACCAAAGATAACACAACGTTCTCTCACAATTGTCAATTTTGAACAGGGATGGACAAAAATAAACAGTAAATACAGGTCTTTAAGACTAACCCGAGTCCAAGTAAAAGAGTAACGTAAAAAAAGTTTCATACAGGTACCAATGCAAATGAATACAGTGGCACACACACATTGAGAACACAGCATGTGCCTGCCCCTTTCCCCCCCTCCTCTCACCTCCTCTGTGCAACCCCTCCCTCCCTCTCTTGCTCTCTCCCCTCTTGAATTAAGTCCATTATTCCTGCCTGCTCTCCCTCTGAGCACTTCTACTCCGCTCAGTTCCTGTGAAAACTCTTTGAATGTGTGTGTGTGAACTCCTCGCGTGTGTGTGTTAAGAAGAGTTTTATGTGTGTGCATAGGGGTTGTGTGTTTTTCTAAGTGGAGCCGGAGTGCAGCCGTTCATCAGTGGAGCTGACTGCAGACAGGGGAATACTCAGATCTCACTGCGCCGCTTTTTAACTCACACACCGGCTGCTTTCCGGACTCTTTTTAAGACTCCCTGGACTATTTGCACCAAAGTGGGACTTTGCCGCTGCTCTCTTTCTGCCCTCCAGGCACCATTCCCATCATTCCCATCACTGGAATTACTGAAGGTTTTTTTTCCACTGCTTTCTGAAAATCATTTAAGGCACGTTTTGGATTATCTCTAAATAGAAATTCTATCTGCTTTAAACTTTTTGGATTCAACTTTTGAGATTCAGCTCCTCTTTTCTGTGCATTTTCATTGCGTTTAAACATGCTCAAGCCTCAGAATGGGTGCTTTGCAAGCATATAACAAGAACTCAGCAAATGCATTTAGGTGTGAATGAAATGCACTCTGTATTGTGAGTGAATAATTAAGAGGCTCATGGGGACATGTGAGTTTTATTTGCATTGCAACAGAAAGGCTATGAGAGGTAAAACAGGAAAAAGCTGTTCAGTAACTATGGAGATGGTCAGTGCTGTCGGAGGCATGTTGGGCTCAGGTGGACGCTGATCCCAACTTGGAATGTTCTGAACTCCTGTGGAATTTAGTTCCCCTGGAAACGGATGGACAGGTGAGTTCATTTTGACTACGGTCACTGCTTAAATCTCTAACAAGTTATATTTAAGATGATGATGTGGCACAAGAAAGAATTTGGGGTTTTGGGGATCAACTTTAAATGACACAATTTTGTCAATATGTACTTTAAAACATTACATCTACATTACATTACATTACTCTAAAATAACTTCTGTTCCAAAGAGAACATCTTGATTAAAAAAACATCTTGTTCATGTTTTGCTCAGCCTCCTATGCTTGTGACTTGATTTTGTGCAGCAGTGCCTGAGCCTTTTTAGAAAGTCAAGTATCTTTTAACAAATCACGATGATCACATGTGGGCTTCTTCATAAATCGGCTCTGTTTCATAGAGAGTAGAGTGAGTTGTCCTCCCTAGGAGAGCTGTTTGGAGCAGCTCCAGTCAGCAGACCAGAGGCAGCTCTGTAAGGTCCTGACTTACTGCTGCTCCTCGGCCAAATGGACGGCTACCAGCTACCAGCAGGCTGCCTTCGCCTTAACTTCTACTTAATAATGTCTTCATTTGTTCAGAACTTGTTATAACAGATGACATGGTTTAATCCTGTGAGGTAGGATAGTAGTTCTCCAAAGACATTTTTTAAATAAATATTCCTTTTATTATATCAATAATCAGGAATAAGCAGGTGAGATGTGGCAGGGTGCACAGGGTTGCATTTTGGACATCAGTCAATCAGGTTTAGTTGACTCCGCTTTTTCCCATTCACACTTTGACGAGAAAGAACAATTTAGCCAAACTGAACAAACACCAGCCACGGGTTCACAGGCTGGGAAACTTTCCATTAATGATGTTGGGCCAGATGGCTCGGTACCAGCGACCAGCAGAGTGCCGTAGCCTCCCCGGCTCCTTGATTCACTCCTTTTCTTTCAGAACAACTAAGCCTCTAGCCCCGGATTGCCTCGCTTTCTCACTTTGTTATTTCAGCTTAAATCCCATAAAGACTCGTAGTCACTTTTGGCTTGTAGCTGCTTCACTTGTGTGTGTGTGTGTGTGTGTGTGTGTGTGTGTGTGTGTGTGTGTGTGTGTGTGTGTGTGTGTGTGTGTGTGTGTGTGTGTGTGTGTGTGTGTGTGTGTGAAACTGCCATTTAACCTGGAGTCAGCTTTGTCCCAAGGCCCTCCACTGAAACAATACTGTACGTCTAAGCCACAATACACACCACACTGTTTCTGAAGTGTTTCTGTAATGAGATTTTTACTTTTTGTGTGCCTGCAAATAATTGTTAAGCCTTCTCTTAACCTCCCTTTCACCTTCACTCTTAGCCCTGACTTCCAAAATGAATAACATTTATGGACCACTTAAAAGCACTCACAACAGAATAATCCTGCGCTTTTCAAGGGAAATGAGACAATTGTCAGTTCTGCAAAACCAAAATGCCGTAGCTGCAGTCATTGTGATAGTCCTCCTTTTTGCATGCTCGCTGCACTTCGCATCTGCTCCCTCTAGAGACTGTTTGTGAAAGTCTGCAGCATGTTGACATATGCATCACCTGCTTTCCCTCTCTTGCATCTCTCTGTAGATTTAAGGCTTTGTGCTTTTGTGTATGTTTTTCTGGGAATTAAGCACACCCGCAAGATGAGCACATTTGTATCTGAGCTGAATCAAAACACCACAAAGCTTGAAATGGTACCACTGCGGAGGAATTTTCTTCCTCAGCCAAAGTGGGAATATTGTGAGTTATGGATCAAACTTTTTACATGCTTGGTGCTCTTGTGCTACAGTACTTGTGAAGACAATTCAGTCCCTGAATGCTTTTCCCAAACCATCACAATTAGAGGCTGAAGAACCACCCTTTTTTTGTTGTTATTTCCAACCTCAACTCTTAAAACCAATTCCTAACAGTTAGATAAACGGCTAACCCTGGTGGTTCCAATAAAAATGGTCTGCAGATGGGCTAGGGTTAGTCTTGACATTGTGATGAGTATAAAGAATGCACACACACACCAATATGCCTCTGTGTTCTGATATGCTTTTTATTATGAGCAATTTTTATGATAGAGGCAGTAAAATGCCAGAATGAAAACAGTTGGTAGCGTGAAACCTGTGCATGCAATTCCAATGTATTTCAGATGTGTTGTGTCAACATTGAAATAAAACAGTTCTTTGACATTTTCATAGTTTAACTTTTTGTTATAAAGCAACAACAATCAAAATTAAAACTGCGGTCGCACTTGTGCGCGCAGTGATGAGCGGGCCCTCGCGTCCGTGCGCCTGTCGGGGAGGGCAGCCGGTCGTCCCGGCGTCAAGCAGACGCGCGCGAGTCCTCGGAAATGAGCCGTTTGTCATTTCTCTAATTTTCGCGTCCCAGGTCCTCCGGCATCGACCCGGAAACGGATGTTGGCGCGCCGTCTCGAAGGAAAACACATTTCTCTAAAGGCTCGTCGAGGATCGATATTCGAGGAGGCTGTCTGGAGGTGCCGTAACCGAGGATACACTGATTTAGAGGAGAGAGGAGTCTCTCTGGAGGAGCTATAACCGAGGGTACAACGATGTAGAGGAGAGAGGAGTCTCTCTGGAGGAGCTATAACCGAGGGATGTACAACGATGTAGAGGAGAGAGGAGTCTCTCTGGAGGAGCTATAACCGAGGAATGTATCCTCCGAAGTCGATTTCAGCCAACAGTGATGTTTAAAAGAGGCGTGACGCATGGCTGGACTTATGTCAACGAAGCACAGCTCTGCAAACTGTCCCTTTGGAATTACCTGGATTTCTGCATAAGTTGGTCATAAAATGGAGGAAGCCACTGCTGTCCAGAAAAAACATTGCTGCACGTTTGAAGTTTGCAAAAGAGCACCTGGATGTTCCACAGCACTACTGGCAAAATATTCTGTGGACAGATGAAACCAAAGTTGAGTTGTTTGGAAGGAACACACAACGCTATGTGTGGAGAAAAAAAGGCACAGCACACCAACATCAAAACCTCATCCCAACTGTGAAGTATGGTGGAGGGAGCATCATGGTTTGGGGCTGCTTTGCTGCCTCAGGGCCTGGACAGATTGCCATCATCGACGGAAAAATGAATTCTCAAGTTTATCAAGACATTTTGCTGGAGAACTTAAGGCCATCTTTCCACCAATTTAAGCTCAA